GGACGTGGGCGGGGGCGGCCTCCTTGAGCTCGCGGGCACCAGCCCCCTGCTTCGCAGAGGCAGCTCCGGGGCCCCCCGCGCCCCCGAGGTGGCGCTGACCTGCGAGCGGTACCCCGTGCGGCGCCTGCCCTTCTCCTCGGTGTCCGAGGAAGACCTGGCCGCCCTGGAGGGCATCGTCCCCGGGAGGGTCATCACGGACCCGGGGGAGCTGGAGGCCTCGAACGTGGACTGGCTGCGAACCATGCGAGGTGAGCCGAGGAAAAGCTGCCTGCGGTGACAGGTGCTCCGAGGACAGAGCTTGCGGAGACTCGGGTGGTGCCTGACGCCTTCGCGCTCAAGGACGGCACAGCCCCTGCTGCTCCAGGGGCCCCCTGCTACCGCTCGCTCCTCTCAGCTCCCGTGTGACAAAGCACCAGGGCCGGGGCTTAAGAGGGCAGATGGATCCCTCAGTTCTGGAGGCGGCTGGGCTGAGATCAGGTGTCTGCAGGGCTGCACTCCCTCTGGAGCGGGGGACCCTGCCTGCCTCTCCGGACTTCTGGGGGATGCGCTTGGCTTATGACAGCATCTGCCCAGTCTCTGCCTCTGCCATCACATGGGACGTAAGAAACGCCCAAACCTGTAGAGAATTTTTATAAGAGCTTATTTGAGCCCAAGCGATGACGTGCCAGGGAGCAAGACCTCAAATGCTCCAGAAAATAACCCTTTTGAAGCTTTCATGAATTTGAAATGAAGGAAAGACCATAATGAAGATTACATGAGAGTGGGAGAAAGCAAGGTGGGGATTGCATTACAGGACAGTTAGCAACCACTTGAGAGTGGTTATTACCTTTATTTAGGAAGTGTGCTGATGTAGATGCACAAGAATAATTGACAGGGTTAGCTTAAGGCAAAGATAAGCCTTTTACTAAAAAGTTATATGCCTGGGGCAGAAGGGGGGCAGTTGTTAGGGACACTGACAGACTAGTTATGCCGGCTCCCACTTGCCACATCTGGACCTCAAATCATGATAGCAGAGAATTATAACCCAGTGAATAAAAGAAGATCCCCTGAGCCCGCACTGATGTGATTGAGTAGCTAAGTAAATAAATGGGGGAGAGAGGAGACCCCTCCTTACAGTACAAGGTCCGGTATTCAGTGTAGGGTGGCTGAAAATCACTGTTTGGCAACCATCCTAAGAATCACTCCTGGCAGGAAAATCAACAGATGCTAAATTCGCAGGTGAGCTTGGAGGAGCAGTAGGGTATCTACAGTGTCAAGTGGCTGCCTACAAGATGCTTGGTAACTTGCAGTGGAGAAGCCAGGCAGGAGCCCTTCCCCTCACATCCGGCCACCTTCATCGGTACTGCAGGCAGCACCCTCTGCCGGCCTCTTCACCTCCCCTCAGTGCACACACTGACTGCTGTTGCCTTTGAGGTTTGCGGGTGACCTTGGTTGTGTGGGTCACCTCACCAAGGAAGCAGAAAGTGCTTATGAAGAACCTTCTTTTCCCCTCCCAGAGCGTAGGCCCAGGAGGTCCCCTCCTGTGTGTAATGCTCTTTTCTGTCTCAGGCTGTAGCAAGGTGCTGCTGAAGCCCAGGACATCGGAGGAGGTGTCTCACATCCTCAGGTAAGAAGCCCACCGTGCCTCTCTGTGGTTTGTGAGTAGTTTCCTCATGAAGACATGCAGACAGACCCAAGGAAGCATCCTGTGCAGGGCTGAGCCCAGAACCTCAGAACCTCAGAACCTGGGTGCTGGACTGAGCATGGTGTGGGAGTGGCTGCAGACTCCAAGGAAATGGACTGTACGTTTCTTGATTTTTTATATCAATAAACTATCATGTTCATGATAGGAAAATTGGGAAACGTAGAAAACCGTAAAGAAGAAAATACAGTCTTAGCCGGTGTGGCTCAGTGGTTAAGAGCATTAGCCAGCCCTTGCACCAAAGGGTTGAGGGTTTGATTCCTGGTCAAGGGCATGTACCTGGGTTGCAGGTTCGATCCCTGCCCCATGTCGGGGTGAGTGTGGGAGGCAACTGATGTCTCTCTCTCTCTCTCTCTGCACCCCCTTTCCTCCCTCCCTTCCACTCTAAAAATCAATGGAAAAAAAAATCAGACAAGGATTCACAGAACAAACACCAAAAATAAAATGTAAAAGCAACCGCTAATTTTTCCTCCCAAGATAACCCCTGGTGGCGTTTGGTGGTTTTAAATGTTGTCACATTATATTTAAGACATTGTAGGTTTTTTTCTTGCCATTTGCAAATCCATGCCCGTTTCTTGGTGCGTATTCTTCTTCTGTGCCATTTTCGACCCATGAAAGGTTCCCACCTCACAAGTGCCCTACAGTTTACAGTCCCCCAAAGTTGCCGGACCACACCAAGTGGTCTTGAGTTTCCATTATCCCTCAAGCTTCCATGTGCGCCTGCTCTCAGAATCCATCGCTAGAGGCTGGCACCTTGCCGGGTGGGTTTACTTGATGCTCGCGGGCACACTGCCTCCCAGGGGTGGGCACACCCATTTCTCCAAATCCTTACCCATCGGGGGGCCCTCGATTGCCATCACTGCCCTTCTAGCCAGATGTTGGCCCGGAGCGTGTTCCTTGGGACTGGGTGGGTGTGGAGAAGAGGGAACTGATACCCTTCCCGTGCTTGTCCCAGGTACTGTCATGAGAGGAACCTGGCTGTGAACACCCAGGGGGGCAACACGGGCCTGGTGGGGGGCAGCGTTCCTGTCTTTGATGAGATCATCCTGTCTACTTCCCTCATGAACCAGGTGGTCAGCTTCCACAACCTGTCTGGTGAGCCTGACTCCTCTAGGTGCCACCCTCTTCCTTTTCAGCTGCTGGGGTGGGCGGTGGGGGACCTGGGCCTGGGAAAGAAAGGACCAGCTCTGTCCATGCCTGGCCCTCTGGACATGTCCTCACAGGGGGTGTTATTTAGTTGGCCACTTAGTGACTTACACTGTGTGCTTGAGGTGAAGCGGATGGGCTGCCACTGTGGCCCCTTTGGACTCGGACATTCTTGGCCAGGACTGCGCCTGGGTGTGTGAGGTCCTGTGGCATGAAGGGGCTTCCTGCTCGGTGTGGCAGCGTCATGGTGTTGGCTGCTCGAGCAGGACGTACAGGCTGGATCATTCTCTGTGGTGGGGGCACCTGGGCACCGTAGGGTGCCTGGCAGCATCTCTGGCCTCCACCCGTTCAACACCAGCAGCACCCCCAACCAGAAATGTCTCCAGACTTGTCACGTGCCTGGGGGGGCAGAACCACCCTTAGCTGAGGACCACTGCCTTACAGCAACCCTCTCTTCTCCTTCCTTGTGCATGCGTGTGCATGCGTGTTTTCTCATTTCCGCCTGACCAGCTTAGTTTTTCCTTTTTTTTCCCTGTCCTCGCCTGAGGGTGTGTTTCCCATTGCTTTTCAGAGAGAGTGAAAGGGGGAGACACACATCAGTTGTTTGCCTCCCGCATGCCCTGACTGGCCGGGGTCGAGCCTGCAGCTGAGGCACATGCCCTTGTCCGGAACTGAACCTGAGACCCTTCAGCCTGCAGGCGACACTAACCACTGAGCAGACTGGCCAGTGCCAGTGTTTCTTTCTCGTGGTGCTCACAGAGATAACCTCTTGGGAAGGGATGGGGCACAAGCTCCTTTCTGGGTTCTGGGCCAAATTCTGAGGTGGCCACTCCTTAGCGGGAAGTTGCACTGGAGGCTCTGAGTCACCCTGAGCTGGGAACACTGTGTAGCTCTGCTTGCTCCATAGGGATCCTGGTTTGCCAGGCGGGGTGCATCCTGGAGGAGCTGAGCCGGTACGTGGAAGAGCGGGACTTCATCATGCCCCTGGATTTGGGAGCAAAGGGCAGCTGCCACATTGGGGGGAACCTGGCGACCAATGCTGGTGGTCTGCGGTTTCTGAGATACGGCTCGCTGCGTGGGACTGTCCTGGGCCTGGAAGCGGTGAGTTGGAGCCACTGCCATGCTTGCAAGTGGAGCCCTGCTCCCAGGGGTGCCCGGCCTGGCTCCCTGTGTCCCCGTGCCAGTCTGAGGGCATGGCTCTTCCGGCCTTTTCTCAGCCGTCAGTGTGCTCACGAGGCCTCTGAGTGAGGCCCCTTGGACTTGGCTGTCAGGTCCCAGGTATGGGCCCTGCTGCATCTCTAGGTATAGACCCTGCCTTTGCCCAGCTTCCCTTGAGAACTGGGCTCTGAGTCTCATGGTTGTGGGTGGAGGAATTTCACTCCAGCCAGGGAAGAAGAGTCTTTCCTTCAGCCTGATGGGGTAACTTCAGACCCCACCCTGGGCCCCTGCTTTCCTGGACTGTGGGCTGGTGCATAAACACCCTTTTTTCCTACTCTCTGGCCAGGTGCTTGCCGACGGCACCATCCTGAACTGCCTCACCTCCCTGCGGAAGGACAACACCGGCTATGATCTGAAGCAGCTCTTCATTGGGTCAGAGGGTACCCTGGGGGTCATTACCGCCGTGTCCATCCTGTGTCCGCCCAAGCCCAGGGCTGTGAATGTGGCCTTCCTTGGTAGGTGCAGTGCCTGCCACTGGGAGCTAGGCTTTCCTGGCTTCTTGTTCTTTGCAGAGGGAACCAGGACCTGGCCTTGGTGTTCAGTTGGGTGCGGAGTCAGGCCTGCGGGCTCTGGGTGGAACAGCCTTGTTCTGCACCCAGACCGGCTTCCTTGCCTCTCTTATCATTTGTTACTCAGGAGCATGTGCCTCAGGTTCTTTGGGAAACGGGGTCGCTGGGCATAAGGTCGAGGGCACCGGTCTTCCCGGTGGGGCTGGACAGATGCCCTCCCTTCCCAGGGGACTTGAATCACAACCTTGCACCTGCTTCCCGCAGGCCCCACCCTTTGTCTGCATCCACCCCCCTTCTTGCTTTCATCCCGTTGGGTAGCTGTGTGGTCCATCTCCACCTGTCCTCGGTCAGGAGGGGCGCAAACCGCCAGTCTTCTGGAGGCTGCTGTGCCCCTAACATACCAGTGTGGCCAGTCAGTCCCATCAGGGTCTTCACTCTGGGCGGTCAGGACCATCCCCTCCTAACGTCCGTGTTCTCGTCTGGACTCTTGGTCCTGTTTGTCTTCGTTTCTTGGATCGTCATCACCGTTGTTTTATAAATGTGCTGTTTCCCTTCTTCCTGTCCTGTGGGGGGCGCCTGCTGCAGACGGGTTCTCACTGTCAGTCTGTCTGAAAATGCCTTTGAACCATGCTCATTCTCGAGAGGCACGGCCACTGGGTGTACAGTTCCAGGCGGGCACGCGTTGCTTCCACTGTTGGAAATATGCCACTCTGGGCGCCCCCACGGCTGCTCTGAAGGGGTCCACCTCTCTTTGGACACTGGGTCTTTCATGGTTCTCGGTACATTTCTCTGGGTCTCCCTGGCCCGCCTCCTCTCAATTGCAGTATCGCCGTTTTCCTCTCCTTGGCCTGTGGTTAAAGGTGTCTTCCCTCCCGTCTCTCACCCTCTCCCATCCTTTCCATCCCTTTCACTGTGTTGCATTCCACCTGTTTCTTCCAACCTGTTCATGAATGCTTTTTTCCGCTGTGGTCCACGTGAGCTGAGCCCCTCTGCAGCCACGTTCTAGCCACGAAGGCCCAAGCCCTTCTCTCTCATACACTCTTCCTGATTTCTCTGTGGCGTCTGATCCCTGACCCTTCCCTGGCCCTTTCCACCTGCAACAATCCACTGGGTCCTTTCTGCCTCCCGGCTGGACGGTCAGCTCCCTCGCCCTAGGCACCATGGCAGCCTCTTGGTGTTCTGTGAGTGTCTTGAGCGAGTCACAAGGAAACCTGAGCACTGCTTTAGTAAGAAGAACAGTTAAGCCTTTTCCAGAGGAGACTGCTTCTGGCCTGTGCACAGACTTTCCCAGGTCTCCTCCCCTCTCATTTCCCATGGCCTCCCGCACCATGGGCATCCTCAGCGAGCCCTCTCTGTCTTTGTCTTCCATTCCTGTGATGTCCTTGTTGGCTGACTGGTGGTATTTCCCTTGGTAGTGCTCCTGCCACCCTGAGGCCACTTTGCTCGCCAGCTGGGAGTCGGGTTGTCAGGCTGCTTCACAGGGGACTTGGATGGGTCTGGGCAAAGGTCTGTGCTGGCGTGTGCCTGAGGTGCTGTGCCCTGTGCAGGTTGCCCAGGCTTTGCTGAGGTTTTGCAGACTTTCAGGACCTGCAGGGAGATGCTGGGGGAGATCCTGTCAGCGTACGAGTTCATGGATGCTGAGTGCATGCAGCTGGTCAAGCACCACCTCTCCCTCACCAGCCCAGTGCAAGGTACTGACCCACGCTGATCCTTTTAGGTATTTGCATGGGATGGCTCAGGCTGTTAGGTCTTCATCCTGTGCAGAGGGGGAGGCGGGAAGGAGGATGCTGGCTCCTCTGCAGTTGTGGTTTCACCAGGACTGAATGAGCCTAGAATTCTCATTTACTTTCATTTTAAATGTGTCCTCAGTTCACTTAATGCAGTCGGGTGGGACAGAGCTCTGGTGTCTTCAAAACAACCAAGTGCACTTGCTAGAAATGCTGTCCTGTCTCCAGGACCGAGAGACATGCCATTCTGTGACATGCTCACCCTCCAGTCTCTGAGCAAGTCATGAGTGCAGCACCCGCTCCCAGTCCCTGCTGAGATTATGAGCCTAGAGGTTAAAAATATTCAGGTGCAGGTCTTGGTGATTTGATTTCTGAGATCCACCCTAAAGAAATCATCATTGTCTTAGCTGCCCTAACAGAACCCACAGGCTGGGTGGCTTAAAAAAAATTTATTTCTCTTGGTTCTGGAGGTTGGGTCCCCTCAGGTTGATATCCAGAGAGCCCCACTTCCTGGCCTGCAGACGGCTGCCTTCTCACTGTCCTCACCTGGTGGCCAGAAAGAGCTCTCTGGTGACGACTCCTCCTCTTAGCAGGGCATCAGCCCTACAGGATCAGGGCCCCACCCTCTGACTTCATCTAACCTTAGTTATCTCCTTAAAGGCCTTATCTCCAAACAGTCACATTAGGGGTAGGTTAGGGCCTCACTATGGGAATTGGGGTGGGGTGGGGCACAACTCAGTCCATAACAATTATAAATAAGGAATGAAATTATAAATTTTGAATGAAATGCTACTTTTGTTATTAACTGGGAAACAATGCAAATGTCCAGTGGTAAAGAAATAGACACATACAACCTTTGGAAAGATGATGGACCTCTGGGTGCGATGGACCTCTGGGTCCCTGAGTGGACGGCAGGCTTCTGGGTAGACTGTGGGTCTCCCGGGGTTTGGCAAGAGTGGCCTCCTATAGCCTGGGACACCCCTGGCCCATCCAGGTGCCAACAGTGAGGGCTTCACAGTGTCCCCTTGGTGGTTCCTGGGTTTCCAGTGAGTGTGGTTGTCACAGTGAAAGGTCCGTCTTCAAACCATCTGACATTCAGCCTCAGTAGAGCTGCTCTGCAGGCTCTGGGCCCATCTGCACCACAACAGCCCTCAGAGGTATTTTGGCTGTGCTGACCCGGAGCTGTCCTGACCCAGCCTGAGCACCCTGCCTGCCCTTCCTGCCTTCTGCCCTCCAGAAAGTCCGTTCTATGTTTTGGTCGAGACCTCAGGCTCTAGAGGGGAGCACGATGCTGAAAAGCTGAGCAGCTTCCTGGAATCTGTGCTGGGCTCCGGCCTGGTGACTGACGGGACCCTGGCTACTGACCAGAGGAAAATCAAGGTGTGTGTCCTGGTGCCCTCATCCTCTGCCCAGCCCCACTCACCGGGACCACGTGGAAGGCCTCGTGTCCGCTTGAGTGTGGGTTGTGGCTGGACGTGAGTGGCTGTCCCAGCTTTGGTAGAAGAACCTCTTTGGAAACACACTCTTGGTGTCTAGGCCACTTCAGCAGTGTTTTAAACAGAACTGTGCAGCCGTGGGAGGCGTAGTGCGGCATTGAGCCAGTCGTGGGGTGAGACGTTTTCCTGAGTATGACTTGGCACCAAGAGCGACTCGGCCTCCAAGGACAAAGGAAGGAAGTGAGGGGCCTAGGACGGGGAGCCATGGTCACAATGAGGGGCTCAGGCCTGGGGCAGGGGAGCTATGTCACCATCACAGGGCCTCCTGGGTGCTCCCCTCCATCCCATTTCCCTTCGTGGTCCCCTGTGCTGCAGTGTGGCCAGTGGCCAGCAGGGGGCAGTGGCAGGACAGGGCCCAGGTGGGTCTGATTTGGGATGAGGGGAGAGTGGGATCTTGTCTCCCAGTGATCGGCTGGTTATTGACTCTATGTCTCTACTATTAAACCTTTTTCTCTACAGTTACTTTTACGTTAGTTAGATGTTACACGTACGGAGTTACAACAGTACCTGGCCAGGCCCCTGTCAGGCTTGATGCTTCCCCCCTTAGCTCTGCTCTGCCCACAAATGTCCTCCCGGCCCAGGCACAGCCCCCTCCATCGGTCTCACTGCAGAAGACAGCAGACACCACTGTGCTCCAGGTGTCTGCTTGGAGCTCAGGGAGCAGGTTACCTGGGTGGGGACCCTCCCTCAGAGGATGGCTGCTGTCCTTTTGTGGGGAGGTAGGAATGCGCTGGTCCTGGCCAGTCTGGACTGCTGGCTCCACAGCCTTTTTCTCAGATGGTGGTGCCCAGAGGTTTAGTGCTGGGGGTAGGGAGCTGGGCTGGCTTCCCCCCAGGTAGACCAACCAGAGGGGGAGATGGCAGGTATGGGGTTTGGGAAGGGGCATTGAGCAAATGCGGGATGGAGGGGAGCACCCAGGAGGCTTGTGCAGAATATCCCTGAGCCAGTGGGACAGGCGGGCGGGTAGGCAGAGCAGATCTTGTGGCCCTGCACGTACGACGGACATGAATGGAGGCCCATGGAGCCAGTGGGTAGAACAGCAAGTGAGCTGGGGGTCCTCATGGCTCTGGCACCTCTGCGGGGACGTTGCTGGGCTCTGGGTTTATGAAGGGCCGGGCCACTAGGACCTGCTGATAATTGGGGGGCAGCGTGACCCATGGGACTGTAAACATCAATGAAGAATGGGGAAATCATTATTTTTAGGGGTGCTCATGGCACTATACTTATGTTAAAAACAAAAGGGGCATCCTTACCCTATAAATTTCACCATGATGTCTCCTGAGATGGTGGGGTATGTGGGGGCAGGAGTAGGGATGAGGCCCAGGTGGGACAGCAGGGCCCAGCAGTGGCACAGCACACTGTCTCTGCTCCCTCACAAGGGCTTCAAATGTCCACAGTGACAAGTTAACCCAAACAGGTAAACCACAGCTGGGTTTGTGTGGAAGGGCAGCACTGCCGAGACAGTCCCCTCCAGACCCTGTCCCCAGACCCTACACCCCCCACTGTCCCTGCTCCAGCCACCAGCACCCCTGTCCCACCCATGCCCTGAGTGCCCCCTGGCAGCCCAGGGCCTATCCTTGGGGGCCTCCCCAGCCCCTCGCCCATCAGGCAGCCCCGGCCAGCCATGCATCCCCCACCCCATCCCCCAGACCTACAGGATGTACCTGGAGTGTCCTCCGTCATTGCTTGTCCCCTTCCAGAAGGGGGCACTTGGTGCCTCAGTCGCTAGCACTGAGTGCTGTCCCGGTGTCGTGTCTAGGATCTTGTTGGACTATGGACCCTTGGATGGAAGCCCAGTGCCTGTCACAACACATTGCCGTGGACGCCATCACCATCAGGTGTTGACTTTGCCTGTCTCCTCTCGTCCATCCACCCAGACGCTGTGGGCCCTGCGGGAGAGGATCACGGAGGCACTGAGCCGGGATGGCTACGTGTACAAGTATGACATCTCCCTGCCTGTGGACAGGCTGTACGACCTTGTGACCGACCTGCGCGCCCGCCTCGGCTCAAAGGCCAAGCACGTGGTGGGCTACGGCCACCTGGGTGAGCAGAGTTGGGCATGCGGACCGTGGTTAACCTTGGGCTAGCTCAGAGCCATGTCCACCTTCTGAACAGTGATGGACAAAACATGGGGTTGAGAGATTCCTAACCATTTTCCTGAGTCTTTTGGGTATTTGGGGAAAGAGTGCCATTGAGCATGAGGAGCTCCTTAGGTGCAGTAGGGCATGGACCCTGAACCTAGAGTCTGAGCAGGACTGAGATCCCCCAGTGAGGACAGCAGTGACCCTAGTTAGAGGACAGCACGGGACAGTCTGTGGGACTTGAGTCAGGAAGGCTGCTTCAACACAGCGGTGTGAGACATCAGTAAGGGTTGGGAGCTTTGGTTACGTTGAAAGTGAGTAACCCTGTTCCTCAAACCACCTTCATGGGGATGATGGCTGGTAGAGCCAGGGACTGGAAACCTTAGCATTCGGGGAGAGGGCCGAGGGTGGGCGCAGGGGTACTGACTGTCTTCCTCCTGAGACAGGTGTGGTGGAGCCACCAGCTGAGGGTTTAGACTCCAGACTGGGTGAGTGCTCCTCTGGGGATAGTAACTCCAACCTGTGCCACAGCTGAGGACACCATTGTGGTCCCAGTGGGCTGAGGTCTCTCCCTCCGTGAAATCGGGAGTGAATGCTGAGTTTGTCGGTGCTTCAAGATGACCGAGCACTTGTCCTGTAACAGTCAGGGACCAAATGACACTAGACCCTCCTGAGGCTAACAGGGCCGTGTTCCCAGGGTGAGCCCCACTTGGCCATGTTCTTTTCTGTATCTTGTTTGATCCCATTTAATTCTGCATGGGAACTTTTTGGGAGTCTTTCTGTCGGGATCCTTGATTCTGTCCTGGCTGATGCTGGGGCAGTCGCCCTTTTTCCGTCGCTGGGAGTCTGTACGCAGTAGTTTTCTCCTCCTGTGTTTGGAGAACTTTCCAATGAAGATCAGTGGCCAAAAGTTTGACTGCAGACAAGTTTCCTGAATATCTAAAGGATAGTCCAGTTTGCATTTTTTTCTGAGCTTGTCCTGGCGATTTTTCTTTCTAAGAACTTGTCCATTTCTTTTAGAACTTAGAATATGTTGGCATAATGGTGCTCATTGTATGTCTTGTTTCCTTTCGTGGTGCTCGTGTGGTCAGGGAAGTGCCCCAGCCAGGGAGTAGCCATCACTTAGCCACTGTGGCTCCAGGTCCCTGTGTCATCGTGAACAACGCACATGGCCTCTCTACGGACTGCAGTGGGAGGGTGGAGCGTCCATGGGTGTGATGCTTGGAGCCCCCCGCTGGGACTCTGTCTCCTGGCCTCTGTGGTTGGCATGCCCCTGCCCTGCCCTTCTGCAGCCCTGACCTTGGCCCCAGGCTCCCAGGAGTCATTTTCTCATCTCCATTGTCATTTCTCCTTAGACCCATGAGTTAGGCAGAAATGTGTTTTTAATTTGCAAATATAGGGGAGTTTTCTAGCTGTATTAAAAATCGTTAACTTGCTGTTAATTGCACTGGAGCAAGAGACTGGGCCTGTGTCATGTGGGGACTGTGTCACACCTGGTCTGTGTTACACCTGGCCCTTGTCATGCCAGGCCTGTGTCACATGGGGACTGTGTCACACCTGACCTGTGTCATGCCAGGCCTATGTCACATGGGGACTGGGTTACATCTGCTCTATGTCATGGTAGGCCTGTGTCACACTTGGTCTGTGTCATGCCTCGTCTGTGTCAGTCAGGGACTGTGTCATTCTGAAACTAGTCAGTGGCCTGGTGGGTCCAGTGTGCGGTAGGATTCCAAAACTGTGACGACTGCCTGAGAGAGCTGCTCTGAGGCCCTGGGGCCGTGTTTGCACAGATCCACATCCTGCTGGCTCAGGCGCCTCAGCCCCCAGGGGACAGTCCAATCTGTCTCTCCTGGTAGCTGCCAATTTAGAAGATAGGAGATTAGAGCTGTCGTTTTCTTCTGTAAATGAACCTCTTTATCTCCAGAGTTTCTTCTGCGTGGAGCCTCTTTTGTTTGGTGTACAGGAACGTTGGCTGTCCTGTTTGCGGTTTGCCTGACCTGCTGGTTTTCCTCCTGTGACTCAGCTAGCTGTTTTCTGTCCGTGACGTAGACTTGTGTCTTGAAGATAGCACAGAGCTGGGGTTTCTTCATCATTGGCCACTCTGTCTTTATTATTATTATTTTTTAATCCTCGCCGGAGGATATTTTTTCCATTGCTTTCCGCAGAGAGTGGGAGGAGAGAGAGAGAAAAAACAACAACGAAACACATCAATATGAGAGAGACACATCATTTGGTTCGCTCCTGCTCATGTCTGGGCTGGGGTGGAGCCTGCAGCCGAGGTGTGTGCCCTTCGCCGGAATTGACCCTGGGACCCTTCAGTCCGCGGCCAGCACTCTAACCACTGTGCGCCCGGCCAGGGTGGCCACTCTGTCTTTAACTACAGCATTTGGTTTATTTGTGTTGGGCAGGGAAGGCTCAACTTCTCCCCCTACCCTCCTAAGTTCCTCGTCTGAGGCCTTGGAAATAAGATCCACACAACAGAGCCCATGAGAGAAACAAGTTCACTAACGCATGCAACTCGCACGCAGAGGACTCAGTGATAGGCGCTCAAGGGGGCTCAGGGCGCGGGCATCTCAACAGAGAACAGTGCCCCCTAGAAAAGTCGCAGCAAGAGGACAAGGACCTGCAGCTTCCTGGGCAGCAAACTGGGAAGGTCGATAGCTCCCTGGGGAACTGGACCACGTGCTGTTACCTGAATCCTTTTGGTGCCTCCGGCTGAGCAGGGCCCAGCGTTCCTGGCGATGATCTCTGTCCTGGAGGGGTGTCGATGGGACCCCTTTACGTGGACGCCCTGCTCTGGTGAAGGGGGGCCGGACAGCTGTGCTGCTTAGTTGCCTTCAGCTCAGAGACGACTCGAGCTGCGGGGGCCCGTGTGGGTGGTTTTGCTCCCTTCGCCTGCGGTTGGCTGTGGTTGTGCTCCCGTCACTCGCTCCCTCGGTTTGTCTCATCCTGCTTTCGACTTTCTGTCTGTCCCATTTCTCCTCTATTTCTTTTTTCCTATTTCAGTCTTCTTTTGGTTGATGTTTTTTTCTCATTTAAGGTTTTTCCATTTACCAAGTAGGGGATTGTATGTGTATATCTGCTCCTTGGGCTGCAGTCCTGGAGTGCAGCTGGTGTTCTTAGCTGAGCCGTGTGTGACATTAACCAGTGTCATTAGCCTCCTCCAAACAACGAGTGGGGTAATTTTATGGGTCCTCCTGGTTGGGCTGTCGTGCCCAGATGTTTAGTCAAACACCAGTCTAGATGTCGCTGTGAAGGTCTTTTTTAGGTGGGATGAACATTTAAATCAGGAGACTTTGAGCAAAGCAGATGATCCTGCATAGCATAGGTGGGCCTCACCTAATCAGTTGAGGCCTTAAGAGAAAGAAGACTGGGGTCCATCCCCTAAGAGGAGGGACTCCTGAGCCTTCAGCTTGCCCCTGGGTCTACAGCCTGCCGGTCTATCCTGCCAGTTTCTGACTTGCCAGTCCCCACAATTGTGTGAGCCAGCTCCTTAAACCACCCCTCTCCCTGGTCCTCCCCCACCCCCGCCCCTTTGTACACATCCTGTCGGTGGTTCATCTGGAGAGCCATGACTGTAACGTGGGCAAGGACCTTGGGACCCTGTGGCTTCGATTGTTATAACCCGCGGTTCGTACACTGTTCTGGAGTAGATCTCAATTTGATCTTGTGTTTTGGCCCCCGTGGCTGTGCTGCTGTGGTATTGGTGTGGTCATTGTTGGTCCAGACCCGCGCATACCCCTAGTCCCGCTCTGTCTGCTCTTAGCCTCCGCCTGGTCTCATCTTCAGAGTTTCCTACTAGGGACGTAGGTGACAGAACATCTCAGATTTTATTCGCCTGAAAACGTATTGATTTTGTTCTGAAATGGATTTCAGCAGTTTGGGGTTGACAGTTCTTTTCTTTCTGCAGCGTGAGGTCTCGCTTTGCTGTCTTCCGACTGTGTCACTGCAAAGTTAGCTGCGAGGGCATGTGTTCCATGTAAAGGAATCTGCTTTTCCTTTCTCACTGCTTTTACAACCTTGTGTCCCTCTGGTTCATCTGGGTGACAGCGTGTGTTCTGCTGGGTCTCCAAGGGGAACAGTGTCTTCAAACACTGTTCTTCCTGCTCCTGCTCCCCCGGCCCTGTTTCTGGAAATGCAGCCCAGTGCCCTGCCCATGGTCTCCCGCCCCATTGCTGATCGCCGTACCTGTGGTCGGGGCCTCAGTTCCTGCTGCATTCAGAGCGTTTTGCCATCTTCCAGGTCACGCTTCTCGCCTTGCTCTGCGCAGTGTCTTGTTAACCCTATTTGCTGAGGCATGTGCTTCAGCATCATACTTTATTTCTAGAACATAGATTTGCAAATTTAAAAACTTTGCCTGGCCAATGTTTTGTATTCTTTAAAAATATGTTTTTATGATTTCTTGAGAGGAAGGGAGAGGGGGACAGAGGCATAGAAACATCAATGAAAAACATCAATCAACTGCCTCTCCCCCCGCCACTGGGGACGTGCCCTGACCAGGAATCCAACTGATCTCTTGGTGTACCAGACTACGTTCAGCCACTGAGCCACACCAGCCAGGCAGTGTTTTGTATTTTTTATCTCATTTCTTTAAACGTGAAGCATTTATATTCTGTTTCTGGAAATGGCAGGATCTCGAGTCCTGTGGTCAATTCTGCTGCCCTGGCTCTTGGTGGCTTCGTTTTGTGTGGATGTAATTTGTGGCCTGGCTCATGTACCTGAGGTCTTTGCCTGTGGGAGTGTTTGAGGCCTGGGTTGGAGGTGACTTGCTTGTTTGTGCAGGGGGTGGGGAGGGTGGGTGCAGACCTGGGCCCCCAGCCTGGAACCTCAGCATGTTCACATTCTGAGCTCAGTGTCTGTGGACCACCAGGTAGTGTGAACTCCAGCTGCAGACTTTGTGCTGGTTGATGGTGGGGAAGATCCAGGGGTCAGGGGAGGTAGGTCTCCTCCCACACGCAGTTCCCTGGGCAAGGCCTTGGCGGCATCTTCAATTGCCTTGGCCCTGAGTGCATCAGTGGGGACCACTTTTGGTGGGAGGGGTCCCTGTTATGCACCCCACATTTGAAACATCCAGATGGAGGGAGGGGGTATAAGAAGCTGAAGGTCTCTGGATCAGAGGCCACAGGCCCACCCTCCTGTGACTCCTCTGCCCTCTGTTTTGCCCCAGGTTTGCTGTGTTTGTTCCAGCCTCTGGGAGCCCCTTCCTCAGGCTCTGAGGCTCCCTTCCCCTCAGAGTGGACAGTAGCCCTCACTGGGCCTGGCCCACTGTCCGCTCAGCCCCTCCACCTCCCTGACCACTGACTCTGGGTGTGGGCCTCTTCTCTGTGTGTTTGTGCTGGCTCCCATGAATGCTGGCCACACCCAGCTTCTCCAGGGTGTTACCTCCCACGTCTCCCAGGGCAAGCACAATTCCTGCCTCTCTCCTGCCTGCTCCCTAGGGCATCCCTCCTCCCGGTCCATGGTAACTCCACTGCCTGCTCTCATGACCCCAGGTACTCCCTGGGCTCCCTCCAGCCAGGGTCCATCCAGCTCACAGCCCCACCCAGCTCATTGGTTGCATTGACTTGGATCCATCTGGGTTAATCTTGTGTCTTGTCGGTGCTCTGGAACCCCTGAGAGAGGGTGCATGTGGGCAGTGAGCCCGCCGTCCCCAGGGCCAGAGCCAGCATGTGTTTGGATGATTCTGGAAAGCCAGGGCCCTGGGGGTCTTAGTGAGGGGGCCCGAGGCCAGAGAGCAGTGGGGCCAAGCAGACCTGAGAGGAGGCAGCTGGGGAACCAGGACTTTGTTTGCAGTGGGTGTTGGATGGGCAGCCTCGGAGACGGAGGAGGCATCCTGGGGGTGGGGGGAGGCCTCCATGCTGCCCATGGGGGGCCTCTGGTGGGGATGGGGCCATCCTGGGCATTGTTGGTGATGTGAGTCTGGTGACAGCTGACAGTGTGGTCAGACCCCTGGGCTCTCAGTAGGTGAGGCTTTGGGGGCTCTCAGTTGGGAGCCCTCGGAATATGTCGAGCTGGTGGAGGGTGGGGTGGGGAGAACTGGAGAGAGAAGTGAGCAGAAGCCCAGGGAGCTGGGCCCCTGGAAGAGGCTGCTTTTATCACTGCAGGTCAGTGGCCAGTGGCTTGAAGAGTTGGAACCAGACAGAGTACAGGGAGGGGGCTCTTGGCCCTGCGCAGCCTAACCCGTGGGTCCGTCCCCCCAGGGGACGGCAACCTGCACCTCAACATCACAGCAGAGGCCTTCAGTGCATCGCTGCTGGGTGACCTGGAGCCTTACGTGTACACATGGACGGCAGGGCAGCGGGGCAGCGTCAGCGCCGAGCACGGTGTCGGCTTCAGGAAGCAGAGCGTCCTTGGGTACAGCAAGCCGCCCGCGGCCCTGTCACTCATGCAGCAGCTCAAGGCCCTCCTGGACCCCAAGGGCATCCTGAACCCCTACAAGACACTGCCTGCCCGGGCCTGATGGGCGTCGGGGTCAGTGGGAGTGGCCTTGGTCCAGTCTTGGTTTTGCCCATTGGGATGAGCGCACAGGGCTGGTGTGGGCTCGGGCCTCTGTCCCATGGAGCCTCCTGGTTGGAGGGGCTGGGAGATGGCTCCAGGGAGCTGGGACTCACTCTTGGGGCAGGAACCGTCCTGTGAGCAGAGAGGAGGGAGCTGCTGCGTGCTGCCCTGGCTGCTCTGCCCAGCCTATAGGTGGACACTTCCTTTCCCTTCACATATAGGGAGGGGGTCTCCTGCCGGAACATCCTGGACAGGTCGGTGGATGAGTGGTTCTGCCCACTCAGAAATAGACCAAGGAGCACCTGCCTTTGTTTGAGGACCGCAGCCCTGGGAAGAGCACTGTGGTCCTGCTCCCCCACCCCCCATGTGGAACAGTGCGAGCCCAGCTGCCTGGGTGGTGGTGATGACTTCACATGGACAACGTAGAGCACCAATCCTTCCTGAGGCTCTAACCCCAGAGCCTGGCTCACCAGGGGCTTCATCGGTGACGTGGAATGAGTGACTGCTGGGCCCTGGAACGTGTTATTTCCCTCCACAGTAGTCAGAGCTCAGGCCTCTGTCTCTTGCACTTGGCTGTCTGCTGTGATGAGTCCAGACAGATGGGCCATCCGCGGCGAGGCCCCGACAGGCACATGTACATGCTCACCACACAGCCTTCCTGTGTTCCTGCTTCAGTGACCCCCCAGCTTGGTTGTCCCTGTGGACTTGTGGCCCCTGGGCAGCTTCTGGGCTGTGGTGACTGTCTGGGAGGTGGGACGCACTTTCCCTTTCTGGCTGTTGTGAACTTCCAGTAAAAGTAGAATCAATCAGGACACGTTCCTTGCTTCTGTTACTAGAAAAGTAATCTCAACAGCCCGTGGAGAAGTGCCTGTGTGCCACGTTCCCTAAGCACCAGACATAGGGTTGCCAGAGTGACCAGCCTGGCCCTCTCCCAGACCCTATTCTGCCCCAGCTTTGGCCCCACCCTGTTGCTTGGAGCCCTGTCTCATGGGGCCCCTAAGGCTTAGGCTCATGTCAGGCAGGTCAGTTCATGTTTGCAATGACTCTCAATAATAGTTTTACGACTAAGTCAGATTATTTATTTTTGAGAATTAAAACTGCATGAAATATTAAACAGCTAAGAATTTTGAGGCATTTTTGATAGAGTAGTGACAGGGCTCTGTCAAGGCGGCCCAAGGACGGGGATTCTGGGAGCAAGTGCTAGAGGAACCTCCATTTCCCTGGGGCATGAGCTGGTCCCCAAAATGTCAAAATGTGAAGTGCCCTACAGTTCACTCCTGCAGAATCCACCTGTGCACACACATGCGCATGTATGCAGTACATACACATGCACAGATACATACTGAACACAGACACGTGGACAGCCCAGAGTACTAATCCTTCCTGGGGCTCTGACCCCAGGAAGGGGTCACATGCATACACAGGCTTGTTCCTGGGACATGCACAGAGCACTCTCTGCATGTGGGGTCTTGCTGGCCAGGTTGGGGCTGGCTTTTTGAAAAGGAGGTGACTTGCCTCAGATCCTCAGAGGGGTAGGGAGAACTGGAAAGGGACAGCCACCTGCTCCCAAGAGAGAACGTGGCTTGAGGAAGCTGGTTACACACAGAACCTTCCTGTGTGTTGAGACTGTAGCTGGGCTCACCTTGGGGAGGGTACCTGGAGGTCAGGGTAGGAAGGAGGTATTGTTTTTGTATTTTTTGGATGACTTGCACTTTTTTTTTGGCCAAGCTCATGTACACTTTAAAAAAAATCCCACACAGGACAAACATGGCAACAAGCTGATTGAGAGATCCGGGTCAGGGGAGCCAGCTGCCGCTGGGCTGCCCGCAAGGCCTCATTGGAGGTGCACCCATGGTCCCTGCCCCCATACCCTAGGGAGTGCAGCCCAAGCGGAGTCCCTGCTCCCCCATCTGGTCCCTGGGGCCACCTGCCTGGTCAGGGTCCTAGGCTGTGGATAGGCCACACCCTGGTGGAGGCTTGTGTTCTCTTGGGGGTGTTTTGACCCAGCTAGATTTCAGAGCGCAGGTCAAGGGCCAGTTTCGAGCCCCTGTACTGGCCCAGCAGTGGTTGCATCAGGACGGCTGTGACTGCCTGGGCTAAGTGGCCGGCCTCCTCTCTGTCCCCTCTTTGTCTCCTCCCTCCCACTCTGCCAGGATTTAAAACAAGGGCCCCCACCTTCCCTCCTGGGGTGAGGTGGGGTGGAGTGGGGTGGGGTAGGGGGCTGCTGTGGCAGCTCCCTGGGCCCTCCTGCCCCACTGGCCCCAGTAGCAGACTCCCATGTCTGTGGCCACTGTTCCACTGACCCTGGCAGGGTGCCCATAGGCAGCCTCAGGCGGCCACGGCACGGGACAAACCCTGTGGTGCCTGACACTCAGAGCCTGGCAGCCGGCCACTCTCTCTGTCCTCTGTCCTTCCGAGGTTGGCAAGCAGCTCCTGGCACATAGCCTCTGACCCCCTGGAAGCCAGGTGTTTGAGGCTGGTGTTTTTCCAGCTGCTTCTGGGTTGGAGGCTGGGGCTGCTCCGCCCAGTGGCAGTTACTGGACATGGGACATGGTTTCAGGCCAGGCATTTCCTACCAATGTGACCTGGAGGGCAGTGGGCCCGTGAGGGCTGGGTCTCTGGGAGCTCACAGTGTTGGGGGGTGGGGGTGGGCAGCTGTTTGCTCTCATGGTGTTTATTTGACACTGGGGAGCCGGGTGTCTTTTAGACCCCTCCCTCCAATTACTCATCTGGCTTTTTTTTGTGCCGCTGAAAGTCAGTGGCTCAGAGTCAGTGAAACAACACAGCCTAGCAAAGTGGACTTGGGACAGGAAGTGAGGGGCAAAGTATGTTTATGATCATAAAATGTGCACCCTAAAGACAGGGAGGTCTCGAATGTTCACATACCCAGGAAATCCTATTGGAACCAGCGGGAAACACTGACTAGACTTCTGTCTGGATGACACCGCAGACCCACTGGGCGCAGGCAGCATGCCCTTGTCCCACGGGGAACGCACTCCGTGGCTGCGATCTCATGAAAGCTGGTGCAGTGTCCACGAGAACAGCACAGTGAATCCCACACCATCCTGGCCACGCTGCACACTCAGTGTCACGTGGAAAGAGGAAGCCGAGCAGTTCAGTCGGGAATGTCAGCAAACCAAAACCTGCCTTCCAGTCCCCGAACCCCAAGGCCCGAGCCCTGAACCCTGAGCCTAGCCCCCTAGCCTGTAGGGTGGAGAGACAACTCCCCTCCAGAAGCCATCTCCACCAGGCCTGACTTCTGCTGAGGATAATCTCGAGTGTGCCGGAGGTGGAGAGGGGTGGCCATAGGGTTTGGATGAGGAAAAGCTTATGATTTTTGCTTTAAAACCTCTAAACTGTGCAATGTGAGAAGAGGTTATATAAGAGGGGCCCTTGTGGAGACACTCCCTGGAGGAGCCCAGGGAGTGGCGAGGGAGGGAGGGTGTGTCTGTGGTCTCAGCCCGGGGAACAGGTTGGGAAAGTGTAGGGGGCAAGGCGTCTGCCCCTCAACCCCAGGGATGTGGTTGGGGATGGGAAGCCCTGCCCAGGCCTGTAGGGAACGGAGTCCCTGGGGACAGCAGGCTTCCTGTTAGCTCAGGACTTGGGGTGTTCCATGACTGGATCCAGAGGGCTCTGAGGAAGAGTCTAGGGGTCGTGTTGCCCACAGGGCTCCTGAGGGCAGCCACTGGAATGCTGCTCTATGGAGAGGGGCGATGACAAGTCACAGCGCAATGTGCCTGACCCCTGACCTCGACCCCGCTGACCTCACACTGGACGCAGTCCCAGGCCATCCCTCCAACTCCTCCCTGATCCCCATGAGGACTAGGGTGGCTCAGCTGGCTTCACCACCCCACCCCCACCTAGGACACCACCCACCATCCTCAGCTTGAGGCCCCTCGGACTCAGGGGCCCAGGGGAGGGCAGGCTCTTCCAGCAAAAGTTCAGGCCATGAAGGCCACATGGGGAGTGGGGACAACTGAGTCACCAAAGTTTCTGGATCAGTTCCTGGTGCAGGGGTGCATGAGGAAGGGGCTTCTGGGACAGGCCCTGGCCCTGGTCCAGACGTGTGCAAATAGGTGTCCGTGGACGGGGCTGGGAAGTGCGTGATATGCCCTTGTTTCTGGGCGGAGTTTGCGGCAACCTGAGCCTCGCAGAGAGGGATGGGTCATGTGGGTCTGAGGGAGACTGGTGTGAGGGGTGGAACGTTGGACCTGGTTGCTCACATTCCAGCTCATTTGGTCTGAGGCAGAGGTCTGGGCTCTGGACCTACTCCTGACTCAGGCCTTGGGGTCAGTTCATGTGCTCTGGCCAAAGCCAGGGCCCGGAGGGGCTGCTGCCTGGAGGGTCCTCTCGCATGTCGCCAGCTGGATTCCTGGTGCCCGCTTTCCTGGCAAAGAGGTGACTTCTGATTCTGTGGATGGAAGCCCCTCCCACCCATGGGTCCTGCCAGCTCCTTGCCCATGGCCACCCACACCCAGGGGAGGAGGAAGCACTTAGCCTGGCTGGCCTCCCCTCCCACCTTGGGTCGGCCCCAGAGGCTGTCCATCCCCACGGGATCCAGGCCACACACCTGGCACAAGTGTGAGCATGAGTGGCTAGAGGCAGCCCTGCCCACGGTCAAGGTCCCTCCTCGCAAGCAGGTGGCAGGGTGGGCTTGGAGGCGACCCTGTGTCCTCGGCTCTGGCCCTGCCTGCAGGGGTACCGCCAGCCCCCAGACTTCACTCGTGGCTTCTCCGTGCTCCATCTACACCTCTGGCCCTGGTCTTATGGGGGCTCCAGCTGGAACACACAGGTCACAGGGGACCTCTCCCTCCTTCCCTGGGTCACCTGGGCAGTTGGACCTCAAAAGTCCATGTCATGGGCTCTGTCTGAGCTGGCTGGCAGCAAAGGCTCTGGGCCTCCTGCCTCAACTCACTCTTCCTGCCTGGATCTCGGGACCTGGGACCCAACTGGAGTGGGGTGTCCCTAGGCCCCAGCACCTGCAAGGGATCCGAGTCATGACGACGCTTGAGGTGCGGGCTGCTGGGTGGAAAGAGAGCGTTCCCTTTAAAGATGGAGCAAGGCAGCCCCCGGACCTTCTTAGAGGTTGGAATGCGGAGGGGGCAGGGAGCGTTGAGGTGGAGAGCTGCCCAGGCTGGAGTCCACACCATGACCTCAGGGTGCAGGTGGAGGGAAGCAGGGACGATGGACTTCCCACCCTAGTTGGATGCTGTGGGTGAGGTGTGAGGGGCTGTGTGCCTGCCAAGGGCCTCTGAGGCCAGGGAGGCCAGGCCTGAGTGTCTCCTGGAGCCCATGTCCACACAGCCCTCTGGATGCCCCCCGGGGCTGGCCTCTGGTGGATGACCTGGCTATCTTCTAGCCAGACCCCTCCTCTGTGATGCCCAGATCCGGGATGCATCGAAGGTGAGTGGCTGTCCCCACCCTGACTACAGGACCCCCCACCTCCCAGGGTAGAGGACACAGGGAGACGTAGGCCCCACAAGAGACCTCTGCGGGCGCTACGCAAGGAACTCCTCTTTGCTCTGTCACCGAGCCCATCACCCTCTGTAGGGGTGTCCCGGGGCTCAGGCCACCCAAGGGCCCTCTCCTGTCCCTCCGCTCGTCTCCCAACCCTCCCCCCCAACTTGGAGGGTCAGAAAGGGGCATTGAGCCCCTTGGGGTAGGAAGGGAGGAGGTGGGGTTCAGGGGGTCCAAGGAGGGCTCTTGATGGGGGTGGAAGGATGGAAAGGGGACGGCATGGCTCCTGGCCCTCCATTCCCTGCCTTCTGCAGCCCTGACTGGGGTGTGAGCAAGGCGAGGTTGCTCAGTCAGCGAGCCAGGCCGCCTGGGTGCGCAGCCTTCCTCAGGTGGTGGGTGGGAGGGTCCAGCCAGGAGGGGGGTTGCGCTCGCTGGTACAGACCAGGCTGCCCATGGCTGCTCCCCAGCCCTGGTCGCCATGGGAGGGCCGAGTCCCTGCCACCCCAACCCTGGCACCCAGCTCCCCTCCCTGCCTACAGGGTTTTAAGTCAGTTCCTTTCCTGGAGCCCCAGCCCCTACTGCCGAGCAGCCACCGGTGGGGCCTCGCTCCCCCTTCACCTGTTCCCCTCCTTGTTCCTCACCTGCTTGACAGCTGACTCCCCAGATCCTTCAGCCTCGGTGTCCTTAGCTGCTGCCTCCTCCCCTCCAGCCTCCCAGCCCCCACCAGCTGAGGCTGGGCCCTTGGACTCCTTCTCTCCCCTGCTGGCTGCTCCCGAGGGGCCCTCCTGGGGACTCCTAGCTTTGGACACCAGGTGCTGAGGCCATGGCCTCCACCCAGGCCTCGCCCTGGACCCAGCATGCAGCTGCGGTCTTTCTCCAGAGGCTCCACTCCTTGGGCCCAGCCCATCACCAACTGTGCCAATACCTTGGGAGAATTTGACCTTGTGGGCTGTGGTCACTGTCTACACCAGGGTGCTGGGTTAGAGTTGGGGTTACAGAAAAACACAACAAATTTGGAGGAAAGTAAACATTTGTAACAACAACAAAGTCTGAGGCCCCAGAGGGTGGGAGGTGGGGCCTCGGCACTTCTGTCCTGAGATGTCCCCACATGTTGCACTTAGTGTCCCCCCCCGACCCTGGGGACTCCCTCCCGTCTTTGAACAGGTGAACAGTTGGCTGCCCTGGGTCTGGCTGGCTGGTCAGTCCGTCGGTGGCTTGGTCAGAACGACTACCCTTTTCTCCAGCCCAGCGCCACAAGTGTGCCCCGATGACTCAGAGGAATGCATTTCGTAACCAGTAACTGCTGCGGTTTTCCCTGACTCACTTGCCCCACTGGAACTCCCCCAGGAGCTAGGCTGGTGCCTGCATCGGGCCCAGGGAGGGCTGGCCCTGAGAAAGCACTGGAAGCCCTACATCCTGCACCCTGGGGCTCCTGCCTCTGGGAGGAGATGAGGGAGGTGGGCACAGTGGTGGGGACTGGACGTTGGATGGGGACGGGGGACAGAGGGGAGGACCACCCACAGACTGCCTAGGGCCTGGCCCCACCTCCCACTGGTCAGTGAGCAGTGAGCACCCTCCCTGGGGCCATGGGCTGGCTGGTATCTCCAGCGCCATGTCTCTCGCCTGGGCTGGGGCTGAAAACTCAGCAGCTTCTTAGAGTGGTGCCATGTGCCGTTACCCAGTGCGTGCCTGAAACGTTCCGCCAGAACGTGGCACTCCCAAGAAAGGCTCCCTGTAGGAGAGCTCACCCTGGCTTCATGCCTTTCCCCTGACCTCCGACTTGGCCCTGTGGCTTCGCTGGCCTCTGGGCGTGAGACGTGCAGGTAGCCTCCCGACTATCCCCCAATAAAGAGTGTGTCCTGGTGGCCGCTCCGGCCCAGAATAAACACCCTGCCCGAAACAGAACCTATGGCAGGGCCACCACTGCCCCACAGACCGTGAGCTTGAGGCGCGGCCCCTGCTGCAGAGCCTCCGCGGTTCGGTGGTTTGTCACGCAGCACGAGCGAGGGGCTCGCTGGCCAGTGTGTAGGTTCGTGTCCTAACCTGTGGGTTGGTGCTGCTTGGGTTCCTGGCGAGGTGGGTCCTGCTCATGCACTGCCCGTCTGTCCTTGGCGGTATCTGATTTTTCTTATTTCAACTCCCACCCCCATTTTAGAACTGAAACACAGGGTGCTTGGCTCCAGCTCCCCTCCGAGGATGGAGGCAGGGCCTCACACTTCTCACCCCGTTTTAGTTGAGGGCTCTCCTGGGGAGCAGACTCCCTGCCCTCCGAGCCGTGGCCCCTGGAGCTCTGTGTATGCCGGAGAAATGCCACAGTAGAGATGGCGTTCCCACACTGGTGGCCTCTCCCGCCAGGCTAGGCGAGGGTTAGAAAGGGTGTGGCAGTGTCTCCCCAAGAGCCTGGACTCGTCCTCAGTGGCTGTCTCTCCTGTCCAAGCCCTCAGCTCACCTCCTATATAGCTGGCAACTGCACCTGCCACTGGCCAGGACAGGGGACCACCGGTGGGCTCGGACCAATCTGGGAGCAGAGACTCAGTGGCACAGAGAGGGAGCCTTGGGGGAAGGTGGCCCACAGAAAGCTGTGCAGCCCCAGCCCTGCACCTCTCCTCGAAAGAAGGCACAGCTGAGACCAGGGAAAGGCAGGCTGGGTGTGGGAGGAGCCTCTGTGGGGCAGGCCCATGGGCTATGGGGCCTTTAAAATTTTATTTTATGGACTTTACACGTAGTCAAGTGCTGCAAACATTTCCCCAGTCTGTCATCTGTTGGCTGTCTTTGAATTAGATTTATTTATTTCCTGAAGAAGGAAACGTTCTGCAGCAAAATCTACTGATATTTTGTTGCACTTCTATGATGGTACCTCATTGAAAGTTTTTTCAGCCCAAGATGTAAGAAACAGTAAATTTCTTCCTAGCATCAAGTATGCTTTTCAGAAGAAAAGGAGAGGGAGGAAAACTGAACTTGGTCTAATATTTCCCTTCTTCCCACTCAAAGCTGTTGACTGTCTTCATTTCACACGCGAGTACTTTCACCTCCTGAGTTCTGGATCCAGAGGCCCTGGAGGCTGCCCACAGCTCCTCCAAGCTCACCCTGGGCCGACTGACCCCTGGGGTGGGCGGCGAGGTAGCCAGGAGGGCAGGAGGAGGAAGGAGCTCCCACCTGTGGCCCTCTTCCTTTGGCCCCGTGTTAATCCCTCCCATTGGAGGGTGGAGGGCGTGGCCTCACACCTGAGCTGGCAGCTGAGCTTCTCTGGGAGTCAAGTTCATACTCTGCAAGGTGCCACTTGCAGCCTGTGCCCAGGGGGTGAGGGCCGGCAGGAAGTCTGAGCCCAGTTGCCCTGCTGTGCCAGCGCCCAGGACCCGCCAGCATGCCGTCCCCTCTGGGCGGCACGAGGAGGTAAGGTGGGGCGGGGCCGGGGGATGCTGAGTCCTCAAGGGGAGGTGGTTCACTTCTTTAATCATCGAATGTTCTGAGAACATGGCAGAAAGGAGCCCTTCTGTGTCTGTCTTTAAATGGAAGTCACTGAGGGCTTTTCCACTAACACTTCCCTGAACTCGCCCCCCAGGCCTGGGTCTCGCGGACGAGGGCCCAGGGGCAAGGAGAAGATGCTGGAGGCCCTGGTGAGTGGCTGCTGGGCTCTGAGACCCCCGGCCCGGTTTTGCTGTGACGTTCCAGTGGCTGGGCCGCTGTATTTGCAGAGACCTTCCAGGCGAGCTTCCTGGTGTTGGCAGTGACCTGCGTTTGCACTTAGGATGCTTGCTGAGGGGCTGAGTGCCTGAGAGTGGGTCCCCCAGCTCCGGGTGACGTGGCTGTTCCTCTTAGGGGAGACAGAGTCTCAGACACGCTGAGCTTGGGAGGGAGGTGGGCGTGGTCTGCAGATGCTTTGCATTTCACTTCTCTGCCTCATCCCACATGCTTTTGGGGTATGCCAGCTCCTCTGGTGCCCACCTCTCCACCATCCCCACCCCTCCCTGTGGGCCCTGGGGGCCAGCAGAGATGGGGAAGGGTCCCAGGTGTCCCCCTCCCTGTGGACATTGTCACCACACTGTGAAGAGGAGGCTTGAAGGCTGGGGTGAGATCCCCCCATTAGTGTGCCTAAGCTGGGTGTTGCCAGTTCTCCAGCACCCTGTGCGGGTGAGGCTGCGTGGGAGCCCCAGGGTATCGGCTGCCCATTTGGATAGCAGGATGGTTGTTCTGACACAAAGCTCAGCTTAGTGGTTGCTCTGAGTGTCCCAGGCTCATGGGTTCAGCTCAAAGTCCTTGAAGGAAGGGGTTCCCCAATCACTGCTGCCACAGTGAGTCCTTGTCCGCACAACCCTGACATGGACCGCCAAGCATGCTTGCTTGTTGAGGGACAGAGAGGGAATAACCCTGGTCAGGGCAGCCAGGCTGGCAACCCAGTGGCCTTGGGTGGTCAGAGGAGAGGTAGGAGCAGAGCTGAGTCTCTGGCAGGATGGGCTGTGGGGTCTCAGCCTGTGATGGGTTTAGGCCCAAACTCTACTCAGTGACTTTAAGGTTCTGGGTGACCCCTGATTTGGGGGCATCTCCCCAGGCTCTCATGGCTGCTGGGGACCCCAGCCCAAGGCCGTGGACTCGCTGGCTGCCTGGCAGTGGGTGATGGCTCTGAGATATTCGCCGGGGCCTCTGAGAACCTGCCTCTCTGTTTGTTTTGTGGGGAGCAAAGAACCCTGGGAGCCGAGCCCTGAGGATCTATGCCTGTGGGGTTGTGTGACCTGTGGGGGCTGCGTGATCTGTGGGGGCTCTATGGCCCTGTGGGGGGCTGTGTGGGTGACTCCCACCCAACCCTGATGGGACCCCACTTGCTGATTAGGCAGCAGAACTTTCCTGCCCCTGCTGGTGGAGACGGTGCTGCCTCCCCTGGGGGATTGAGCTCTGGGCACCGGCACTTGTGGGGCCAAAGGAGGGGCCACCGCAGGCCCACAGCCCTGATACTTCCTGTTCTGTCCTATATTTATTTCCATCTATTCTGATTATTATTTTCTATCCTATATCTATTTTTCCTTGCACCAGCAGTCTGTTAACAAGGCCCCCGGGACCCAGCCGCTGGAAGTGAGGGCCTGCTGTTTCTCAGAGGCCCCGCCTGCCCCCTCCCCCAATGGCTGCGTTCAGCTGGACAGTCGAGGGACTGGAAGGCCCTGGATAGCCCTGTGCTCACTGGCTCTACGCGAGGTTGCCTCAGTTTCCCCCCACATGGCCCTTCTCTTCCAGCAGTACAATAGCTTCCCTGGGTGGCTGTCTTGAGCAGGGTCTCAGGTGAGCAGAAGCAGACACTGCAGGATTCTTAAGGCTGAGCTCAGGATCGCGTAGCATCACTTCTAGCACATCCTATTCGCCAAAGCTACACCCTGTCATTCCTGATTCAATGGCAGTAAAATGGGGGTTATCTTGATGGGAGGGTGGAAGGTAGGTGGTGGGTGCGGGACAGGTGTCTGTGGCCACGTTTCTCCTCTGCCACATCCTGTAGGTGGTGACAACGGTGGCCTTTTTTTTTTCTAGAAGAAGCCCCTGGGTGCAGGGTGGCCCACACTTCTCCCCTCTGTTATTTGAGGGATGTCCGGCACCCCGTTCCTGTTTCTTTCTGATTTGGCCTCTATACCGATAGCTCTGTGCTCCAAACTTGCTGGCCCATGGCCTCCACTCTGCAGGGATGGGGTCTCCAGTGCTGGGCATTGCCCCTGGCCTCAGGGAGACCTGCACCTGGCCTGGAGCTGATCCATCTGTGGGGGCACTGGAGGCCAGCTCCTCACTGCTTTTTCTCAGGTCACTGAATGGGGAAGTGGTCTGGATGCCTGTTTCCTGAGGATGCAGCCTTTCCCACCAGTGTGTGTGTGTGTGAGTGTGTGTGTGTGCAAGTGCGCACAGGGGAGCCCTAAGAAACTCTTCAGTCTTGTCCTGGGCCCCTGATAACTAAATGCTCCCTCTGACCTCACGCCCTCGGTTTGTCCCCAGACCCCAGAGTGCGCTTGGGGCTCAATGAGGACCCAGTGAAGGGACAAAACGTGGATAGATGAGCAGTGACTGCTGTTGGGGGGGGGGG